ATAGACAGATATACTGTATATATATTTAAGGCACAATATAATGGTGTGCTTTATCAGCTATAGTTGATAACTAATGTTAGCTTACTGATTGCAGACCAGGTCACTTGGTCAATATTGCGGTATGTCAACATACTTCTATCGGCTCCATTTATTATGTGATATAATATCGCTACTGGTCAAACTACTGATAACACTTCGGTTTATAGCGCTTTCAATCACAACGAGACACAAATCATCACCATCCAGTTTTTATCTGTCTGTTAGCATATTTGAAAGTTCATGCAAAAACTCCACGATACAACGATGATAGAAACGGGTTATCTACTTTGCGTCTGTAATGAACCGCTTCTTGGATATTGTTGCTGAAGACCCACAAAACGACAGCCATTCGTAGAGAAGCATTGCTGAGTATGGGTTATGGAAGGGACTAGCGCAAAACATTGGACATAACTGTTGAATGATTGGTCAGTTGTTAAGCTTGATTGAAACTCATGAAAGGTCCATTTATTATTTTTAATTAAAAAGTTCAAAGTTTACTTAATTAAACATACGAAGTAAGCAATTAGGGGTTTCTTTTTAAATGGGGCGACCAAAAAATTGAAAAAAATACACGAGATTGGAGACCCTTTAACCTACCTAAAGAACTCATACCGATATTTAAATTCCTTTTCAAAGTGAAGATGGAGTCCGTTGCAGTAGAACTGGTCCCTGTCGACAGCTAACAACTCTGTTTCTTCCATACACACGACCGTGGCTGTACGTCGTACATCCTTCAGAAGAGCAATTTCCTATATTGGCAAATAAAATATTCCAGAATGATCCATTAAAAAAATTTTTGATGGTAATTATTTAAATTATAATTGTCTTTGTCACTTTTGTATGTATAGACATTGAATTCAATTTATTTACGCGCAAATCATAGTTATCATATATTTTTTTCTGTTGCATGTTTTAATGTATTTCAACATCATTATACAAACCTGACAGAATTAGACTGCATGAACAGTGTAAATAATGGATGATGTTTCTCCCCTCTAAGAAGATGGTATTTTGCCATTATCATGACCAGAACATTTGTTTTCATTATCATTATAGTATTACACAAATTAATATTAAATCAACTCTTACCCCGAAACAAGCTCCTTTCTTGAGAACTGTTACCTCTTTCTTGATAAAAGCTGTGCCTTCGTCTATATCAAGCGTCACGCCAGCTGCCCCAGAGAAAACAAAATAGAATGCGTAGCCTAAATGACCCTTCCGCACGACAACTCGCCTTCTGTTGTATCTAAGAATACATTAATATACCAAATAATGGCTAGTAAGATAGCTTGAATTGAGCTAAAAATTTGAAACCAAATAAATTACATTAAGTAAGCGTACATCATCATCATTTAACATCCCAACCCGTGGTTTAGGAATTGTATGTAACGGTGGTACAATGTTAAAATTAAAATATAGTTGAACATTAAAATACTAATTTACAATTACAAAAAAGCAATTAATTTACTTAATAGAGATTGCACATTAAAATACTATTTTACAATAACAAAAAATACTACTACAACAAAACAATTTATTTACTGTATACAAAATTTACTAAATACAAGCAAGTAGGCCTATGTTATTTACAATATTAATAAGAAAAAGATTTTAGGTTTGCGTCATATTCGTTAGAGCATTGGTTAATGGGCACGTATGGATGAATGTACCATGCAAAAACACGCATTATATACAAGCTTCGTACCTCTCAAGCCGAACAACCTTGCATATCAGATTCTGTGAAACGCGCGTGTACTTGCGAAAACTATGAAGACCACACATCAACCCACGAATCACTGCGATATCGGCTGGTGTTCGGTCCTCGGGATCTTTTTCCAACAATGATTCTGCCTTCTTCGGCCATTTAAACTAAAAGTACGGAAATTAAATCAATGTCATTAGGATGGTTTATTCTTTTACGCATCAACACAAACACAGCGGTTGCGCACATCATCTTGTATATAGACGCACCATCTCAACAACGTAAACTGAGACACTTATTTCAAACACACGATCTAGATCTAAATTTTTTCGTTGGTATTTATGTAAGCATTTAGTTTAAGAAAATACCTGTCGTCAGAAAGTTTTGTTTCGAATAGTTTGAACAATGATGGTGAATGTACATTGTGCATATCGCAGTTGCTGGGTTCAAATCATATGATCATACAGCACATTACCTCATAGTTAAATTTGAAATTCTTTCTGTTAAAACTTATTGTTTCGTTTGTGTCAGGTGACGAAACGACGACATGTTGCTTGGAGGCTGTCCCCAAAAGTTCGGGCATGTGTGCAGCAAATGTGCTATGTCCAGCCTCGTTCGCATACTTGTTGAGGTTTATGTTCACAGCGCAGATCATACGAACTTGTCGGATCGCCTTCTTGAATTTCTCCCTCGGCTATGTTGAGGAAAAAAGTTTAACAATATCAAACCAGCTTATTAAAAATAGGCCTACGGCATTTTTTTTAAATTGGTACAATACATTATTGAAAATTTTATTTACATTCTCAAAATGTAAACATCATGAATTGTGTATTTATAATTCGATCGATACAGCGCGTTGCCTCGTTCACATAATATACGCGCCGCTGATGATTCAAATGCAATGTAATTGCAAAGACGACTTGAAGTCGTGACAAGCCTAATGTCTTTCTTTATATTGCTCATTTTGCATGTACAGTATATGTTATTCATAAACATATTACATGGATTAGTGTCGTCGTATAATGCCGTAATTATGATTGCATCTGAAGGACATAAATTAATTTATGGATTCTCATTTTCTATTATACATTTGCAACATTACCGTTAGATTTGACTTCCAAACTCTGCGATCAACCTTTTCATCCTATAAACAAGAAAACAAAAGAAAGTGTAATCAAAAGAAGTAAAATGCATATTACATTATTTTACTCGGGAAACAATTAGTAACCGGGATTCTAAACCTTTAAATATAAATAAAAATGATAACTTAGGCCTGAAAAACGTCTATCGTGGATTACGGGTCCTAAAGCAGTAAACGTTCAAGGGGTTTACGGTATGACGAATCGTAAATTTATGCTTAAATTATGCTACTGTTACCCTACTGCATTTACTACTGCTTTGTTATTAGTATACCATGGAGGTATAGTAGGAAGGGGCTGTATTTTATCAATATTAATGGGTACCGTACTAATAAAACAAGAACTACATTTAATAGCTGCAAATAACCTGTCTTTTCGGCAGCTGTCTCTTTGGCCAATATATTTGTAATTTCCGCCACGAACCCCCGTACGTCTTATTCAACTGCCTAATCTTGCAGATTACAGCGATCTTTATTTTGGTCTACAATAATCGTTTACGAGAAAATGCAAATTTTCCTGATTTTTATTCGATACTGTCCTACTTATGTGCTACTGTTGATCCCGGGAAGTGCTTATAAAGGAGCATTGCTTATCTCCTTCTGCTGCACTGATCTCTGTCTCAGATGCAGATTTATTCGGCCCTGACTTACTTTAAACAGTGGCACACACTAAATAGAGGTGTGTGTCCATCCTTATATAATTAAATTGCGTAAAATTAACAGAACAATGCAAAACTTATAAAATACAATAAAAAAAAAAAAAGAAAAGAAAAGAGAAAACTTGATTAAACACAATGAACATCAAATGAAATATAAAATAAATATTTAAAAATTACACCGTTTTTTATGATCTGTATCAGAGTACGCTCGCCCACTATGAGTAAAAGAGACAATTCAATGAAAAAATGTGCAATTCACCTGTTCTACTGTTGCTCACATATATAATGTGAAAGGTTAGGAAATCCTCTGTTGAAGATATACAGGGTACTCGAACATCAATCTAAAGTGTGTAGGTCTCAGCTATACACTTTTTAAAAATAAGAACAAGTACCGTAAAATTTTCCCCAGGCTCTGTTCTTATTTTTATCTTAATTTTACACACTTTTCAAACATCACTTACCCCTATTTTAGATCTAGTGTCTGTGAATTTAAAATAACCAATATCCATCAAAAACGTCTTGTTCACAATAGGCATGACCTTTCAAAATCTGCCGGTTCCTATCGCCTGGCTGGCCAATGTCAGTGTATCGATTAAAATTTCTTTGAAATGTTGTTGCATAAACACGCCTTTTTCTTGGCCAATAGTTCGCGGTTATTTAATTGTGTTTTGTAACAACTAAATGCATCTTAATTACACGTTGCACTTGTCATCGATTTTGTACTTGGTGATGTAATTAGATTCACATTTAGCAGAATGATAGGTCTACTTATTACTTATTGCTCACAATGATGTCTATGTAAACGTCTCGAGAATTGTCTTGAGCCCATAAAAATAAACACATAAAAGCCCAATAACTCCGATATTTATTGTTATATTTTTGGATAATTGTCTTAAACAGGACCATTTTTAAAAACAGACTGCAATAAATATGTTTTAAATAAATGAATATTAAATCCCTATAATATGTTCTGTCTATTTGATTGAATCAAATTAAGACCAATGTTGAAGTCTCTAATAACATTCCACAATGTTGAGGCACCCTCGCAGACGACCATTATTACCCGCTTTAGCCCACTAATCAAATCATACAATACCATAAGATGAAAATGTTATCATAATATCAGTGTTAGTATTCAATTTATGATGATTTCAACATTTACTACCGGTACGTATTTAAATCGTAAGACCATAACCTTAATAATAACGATGATGCTAATAAAGGTTATGATAATGATAGTGATAAGGAGGATAATAGTGATGTGAGTATAGGCTATGGTTATAATAAATATAATGATGACGCTGCACCTGATTATGCTGGGCTACTACTACTGCTGCTAATGCTCTGCTGCCGCTACTGTTACTTATACTGATGATGATGATGTTCTGCTTCTGATGCTGCTGATGATGTTCTGCTACTGCTACTACTGCTGATGGTGATGCTTTGCTATTGCTGCTAATGCTTCTGAAGATGATGCTCAGCATGCTGCTGCTGCTGATGATGATGTTCTACTGCTACTGCTGCTTATGATGATGATGATGATGATGGTGATGCTCTGCTGCTGATGCTACTTCTACTTTACTACTGCTGATGACGATGATGCTCTCCTGCTGCTACTATTGCTGATGATGATGCTAATGATGATGTTCTGCTACTACTGCTAATGATAATGATGATGCTCTACTCTAGGCCTACTGCTGCTACTGATGCTTCTAATGCTGCTGCTGATGATGAAGATGCTCTGCTGTTGCAGCAAGATGCTAATTATGATGTTCTGCTGCTGCTGTTGATGCTCTGCTGCTGCTAATGATGACGTTAATAATAATCATATTGACGATGCTAATGATGATATTGATATTGATAATAATGTTGATATTGATAGTGGTGCTGTCGTTGCTGCATGCCTGACGATGACGATGATAATACTGTATTATAATACTGGTCATCATCATTAATCGGCAATTATCATCTATGCGAGCAAAGACTATGTTGTTGATATAATTGCAAGTGGTGGCGGTGATGGTAATATTATGTTGATAATAAGGAGGTTCTTTCTTTATTATTCGTATTTGTTGAGTGTGTGGAAAACGGGATTCGATAACGAGAACGAAAATGTGACGTATATGTAACGTAGCCGTTTTCGTTATCGTTTTCGTAAGGTTGCGAAACCTCCCTAATAGTGATTGATGATGACAACAATGATTATATGATGATGAGTAGGGCTATACCTAATATTAATAATATATGATGATGAAAGATTATCGATGGTAACGATAGTAATGATAAAGGTAATTATATATAGTGACAATAGCTGTAATAGATATCTTGATCTTAATAATTATGATGTTTTCACAAACTACATGCCTGCAGAAATAATTGAAAATAATTGTACATAGGCCTAATTGTTTTCACCGATCAAAACCTCTGACGTCAATACACTTATAATTACCGTATATACTTGATTTCCATGATAACATCGACCAGTAATACATACAAATATATGTATGTTATCAAGAGTGTAAAGAAATCGTGTTCGGTCTCCTTCTCCAGGTTTAAATCAACACATATTTATAGTTTTACAGTAGATCACGTCCTACACGTATCATATAAATATATTCTCCACAACCACGGTTTTCTGTACCCTGTAACGAGAGCAGGGTGAAGCCAGGATTTACCCGATGGGGGCCGAGATCCCCGACGAGGCGATGTCACCGACGAGAGCAATGTGGGCGTGGTCGGGCGTCGCTCAAAATGTTCCGAAATTGGTCCAAGAGGCGAACGGCGAAGCTCCCGAAAAATATGACAATTTAGGGGTTTCAAAGGTTTATTTAATCGATTTTATAGATAGAGTCTAATAATATGTAGCAAAATTGTTTTTTCTCCCAGACGAATTGTGGTTTTTCTAAAAAAAAAAATCGAACCCCCCCCCCCCCCCCCCCCCCCCCCCCCCCCCCT